AATAATCTGTCCTTTTTTACCAGCCCATGATCTGATGTGGTGTAGTTCTGAGGGAGTCCATCCTCCCCTATATCGTAGATTGTCATTAACACATCCCCAGCGGGGCGAACTTCGCTAATCTTCCCAACCTCTCCTGGCTGATCATAGATGGAGACCCAATCATTTGGAATAAGGGTAGGTCCGTTTCTCAAGATCCTAACCTAATCTAAGGGGATTATGTCTATTATTTGTTCCAATGCTTCCTTCTGGTGGTGGTAGTACCTTAATCTCTTGTGGAGGCTCGGGAGTGTCAATCCAATCTCTGGCCTCCACACTCCAGATGTCTCTAATGCGAGTGATTCCTCTTCTGATCCATCCTTTCCAAAGAGAGTCTGTGCAATTTAGGGTGTAACCATTGGAGTCTCTAATGAGTGCGTTGTTGAACAAGGGTTGTTGGCATATTACTTCTTCCCATCTTTCCGGTGTTACTTTATCCGGGATGGGTAGTTTCCTCCAAGTTTTTAGCAGATCAATCCAGAAGGGATCCCGGGATAGGTCACTTCTGGCTGCCTTACGATCAGATACTCACAAAATGTGGAAAAAACAAGACTATGTTAGTCGTACCTTTCCATGTTTTGTGGCAGATACGTTCTCCATTTTGGTTATTGGAGTCAACCAACCAATGATGTCTTGCTATCCTCTGGCTTGTCATCGCCCTTGTAGCCCCGTTGGAATGGTGGTCGTCACTGCTCATTCGTTCAGTTTGTAGGCACAACCTTGACTTTATTATATCATTACAGGCTGGGAAACGGGCCCAACGTCCCTCACATCAACAACCACAGCCTGCAGGGATGAGCCAGGTGTACAGGCGACCGGTGCTTCGTTTAGGCGTTTCCATGTTAGACAGGGCTGCGAGCCTGCCAGAGTCCCAGGGGACAGACTGGGTCACTCCAATTAAAGGGGGGGGGAGAGGGGGGAGAGGGGGGGGAGGGAGAGAGAGAGAGAACGGGGGTAATAGAGGGAACAATGCAGGAGGTATGAATGAGGTTAGAGTTGAGAATGAAGAAAAGGGGATGTGTAGGACAAATCAAGATCCACAAAAAACCACCCGACTCTCGGAAGACAACCAGAAAATAGGACGGGTCTGGTCCTTGGCCTCTGCAATACCCATGTTTAATTATATTTTTTTTAAAACCTCCATTTTGCACTTTTTTTTTTTTTTTTTTTTTTTTTGCTTTGGAACATTGATCTGGGCCGGAGCTCCTGCCTCTTGGGTGGTATGAGCCCGAAGAGATAGGAACGAGCAGTGCATGGACGACTTATCTACTAAGGACCTCATGACACCTCCAGCCAAACACCAATGTTTTTTTTTTTTTTTTTTTTTTTTTTTTGAAACAAAATCCCACCAGTGCTAGAGGTGCTGTTTAAAGCAGACACCACAAGCACCCGAGGAAAAGCTTCATCTATTGGTGGTCTCCTGCTGGGAAACGGGCCCAACGTCCCTTGTACAATGATTCGGAAAATAAACAGAAAGTATCTAAGAAAAAACAGAAGTGAGCCTAGAAAGAAGCACCTGCCAACATTGATTGCTCTGAGTTCAGAGGATTGACTGAGCAGGTGCACCTGGACCACTCGTCTCCCCGCCCGTCTCTGTACCTTTCATCCTTTCTGGTGAGTTCAGCCCCTCTTAACCATTTCTGGTTGTCAAATTCAGCTTAAATAACTTTCATAAGCTATCTCCCTTCCTCGACCTGTGGCGTGGCGCAGGGTTCCGAAGGGAGCCACTCGGGGCACCAGTGGTCCTTCCCTTCGTCTCCTCACCCGCCCCTCTATCTATTCCCGACTATAGGCCTCGTTCGACACTACTTTGTAAGGGCGCCCTTACGATGGAAATCGGATTAATTTTCCCTTACCCCGTTTTTCGTTCCACAACCACTTACGAAAACCCTACACTCGCGCGCACTTACCTTTCAGGTGCCTCTCATTCCGTCGTATGCATTTTTTTTTTCGGTTTAGGATGTCCGACCCGAACTTGCGCCGAACATATTCGTGTCTGCGAAATTTGGGCCCATGAGACACAGTAATCTGAATTTTGGCGAAGCGAGGCGGGCCTCCCGAATGGGCGCGGAGTGTCGTCCACCCGCACTGAAACACGCACGCACGGTCCACCCAATTCAAATTCAAATTCCGCGTCGGCAGTGCGCTCTGTGTGAACTGGTTTGTCGAGTCCTCGCCTGCGCGTTAGTGGACACGACACGACACAAATTTCTACCATAGTGACACAAATTTCTACCATAGTGGCCAGTGCAGGCGACTTCGCGTGAGTGGTGTGTGACGTGTCTCTCTTGCAGCGGTGTTCAGCTATGGACGATGGCGGAAGTGTGGAGGTGGCAGCGATGAGACTATCAGTCTGTGAGAAGACCATGGTCGTCAGTGCGGTCCTAGCTGTCTGTCGGCATATGGAGATGGTGAACGGTCTACAACGGGGGGGTGGGAGGGGAAAGGGGAGGAGGGCGGCCGCTATAGCCCAGGCATTGGCAGACGTCATCACCTCATGCGGTCTGTCGAAAGCTCCTTTCCTATTGTCCAATGCTACTATCGCGGGAGTTCTGCCGAGGGATACTCCTCTCTGGTGGATGAAAGGTGGACCGGGGGGACATGGCGGGACTTGGACATTGCGGACGACGTCACCGACAAGTATTTCCACGACAAACTGCGAATGACACGCAATGCCACTATCTTCAGCAACATCTTGGCAGCTCGTAGTCCGTTTCTTGAGCGTACACTAACACATTACCGAGAGCCGTAACAGTTGCAGTCGGACCTCATTGTCACCTTTGCTTTGTGTAAGTGGGCTTCGGGCGAGACATTCGAGAGTGCATCTTCGAGCTTCGGCATCGGCAGGTTGTCGGGATTGAAGGCCATCATGGACGTTACTAACACGATATTGGGGGCATATCCAAATAAGATCGCAATGCCATCTGGCCGTTGCCTGCTGCAGGTGACCCAAGCTTTCGGAGTGAAGGGCTTCCGTAATTGCTTTGGCGCTATCGATTGCACGCATGTGTATGTTGACAAGCCCGCAAACGCACCATCCAAGAACTACTACAACCGAAAACAACAGTTCTCGGTGGTCGCCCAGGTTGTGGAGGACATCGACATGAGGATTCTTCATGTGTTCATCGGGTACCCAGGGAGCATCCATGACCAACTGGTGTTGATAAACTCTTCTCTGTTTCGATATGTGGAGGCGGGCAAGCTCTTCAATGCGGAGCCGGTGCAACTTCCAGGAGAGGTGTCTACTACAGGGTATTTGCTCGGGGATAACGGCTACTTTTCGAGGACGTGGATGGTCATCCCCTACGGAGGGTGCGAGCAAAAGGGGAGTGTCGGCTTCTTTATCAAACGACAGAAGGCGACGAGAGGAGTTGTGGAAAGGGTTTTTGGCCAATTGAAGGGGATGTGGAGGTTGTTCCTTCGTCACCACAAGACGAACATGGACAACCTCCCCTAGCAATTCACAACTGTTTGTATCGTCCACAACCTTTTGCTCGAGGTCGGCATATCGTTTGATGACTCGGTCCTGCTCGAACCGGAATCTCGTTCGTGTTGATCTGGGGTTGCAAGATCTTCACGGCCCGTGTCACAATCGGGTGCAACTGACGCTGCCCTGGCCCTGCGTGATGGTCTCTGTTTGAGAATGCAACCTTGAACGTCCAGATGCGTCGTCGTCGTCTGGACGAACGTTGGTGACGAGACCGACTGCCCATACGTCTTCGAGTCTGTTTTGCTACCGTAGGTATTAGCGGTTGTTAGCCAATCCTTCTTCGGATGGAGAAGCAATCAATGATGGCAGCTGAGTGTAAGGTTATGAGTGCTGGTGTAAATCCAATTCAACCGATGTGCGACTGTGTTTCCTTCAGCGGTTTATCTATCTATCTATCTATCTATCTATTTATCTATTTATCTATCTATTTATCTATCTATCTATCTATCTATCTATCTATCTATCTATCTATCTATCTATCTATCTATCTATAACAGCCATTTCGTCAAAATGGACATATTATATTTTTTGAACGAAATCAAAACTGACTTTTTTTGCCAAAATCCGGCTGGAATTTTTTGCTCCT